CCGCCCCACCCCATGGACTGCGCGCAAAGACTTATAACTGTGGTCATTGTGATTTCCTCTCTGCCCTCACTAGGAGGGCAGACAAGCCTTTGTCTTCTGAGCTTTACTTTCCTCTGCTTTGCAAAAAGAGTTAAGTTTTTATGTTTCAGAGAAAAATGGAGAAGTTGCCAGTAGCCCCGGGAGACAGCCCCAAATAAACTTTGTTTTCGAAAGTTTCTGGGCAGCCGGAACAAACTATCAGGCTTTGGTCCACATCTGGCTTGCAGACGTGTTTTGTTTGGGCTTGTATAGTGTCTTTAAAAATTGAATTAGCTGCCAGCATTTACAATTCAGGAGATTTTGCATTAAAGTTGGGGGTTTTGGCATCTCTTGAAAGTCTGTTGATGCTGGGCATTCATTCTTCTCACATGCGACAATCGACAGGGCCTGGGAGCAGCTGTTCCCTTGAGATGGTGCATAGGTTTCCTAGTTTTTCCTAGTTCCCATTCTCCTTGTTTCACTCATCTACATTCTCCTAGGCCCAGGAGTTTGAGATCCCTGTCTATGTGATTGATACAAGCTGGATATCTTAAGGGGATGAAGAGGAAGCCTGCTGCCTTTAGTGGAAAGTGGAAAGGGGCAACCTAAGAGTGTGAGGTTGGATTTCCCAAGGGTTATAGGGCACAAGAGTTATGGGGACCCAGGGAATGAAGAAAGCTAGGGCTACCTGGGACATAGCTTACTGATGGTGACAGAGATCTCAGATGAGGGCAGCTAAGCAATAAACTCTGTGCCCTTGAACGCCACTGCTATGGTCTCCTGGGTCAACTTTGCCAGAGCACAAGAATGTCCCTAAAGGAGCCCTCTCTCTCCCTATGGACCATGCAAGCCTGGCCAAGCTGTTTTGGGAGCTGCAGCCACAGTGGACTTCAGACCACAGAATCTTCCAACCATCCAGACTTTATAAGCCTTGGGCTTTTCATAAGATCCTAAGTTGAGGGGGAGGCACCTCAAGTAAATGACTTTGGAATATGTACTCATCTTGGAGAATGAGAGCTTTGATTAAATAAAAGAAATAAATGGAATTTGTGTGTGTGTGTGTGATTCAAGTGTCTCTGGGTTGTTCATATATGATGTGCATGTCTAACATTATTCTTGACTCAGAACTGCCAATAAATAAATGATGTTCATTACTATCCTCTCTTCCATCCAGGCATGTGGGATGTTACTATCAGGTATCCTTATTACTATTAATACCTAACATTTTACTTGAAAGGCATTCACTCAGAGTCTTACACAGGCAAGACCACGTTATGTGTTCAAACCAATTTCATTTTTGTTGCAGATAGATGGGAAGACTTCATTTCCCAGACTCTGCTGGAGTTAGCTAGGAGCCATGTGACTGAGTTCTGCCCTATGGAAATGTGGAACTGATATATGCCACTTTCAGGCCTGGTCATAAAATCCTCTCCACTATCCTCCATGCTCTCTCTTCCCATTCTGTGGTGATGTTGGAAGATACATGTTGAAGGTGATGGCCCCATGAGAGAGAAGAAGCCTCAGTCCCTGACAGACTCTTTGGAGCCCAGATTGGACGGTGATGTGAGAAATAAGCCTTTGTTGTGTTAATCCATTGATGCTGGGTTCATTTGTTATAGCAGCTAACATTCTCTAACTAATTCATAGTTATGCAAAGTCTATTATCTCATTAAATTCTGAGCAGAGCCCTCTGAATTTGGCAGGACAACTACTGTTCTTCTTGTTTTGTAGATTCTAGATCAAGAGACATTATCCTTGCCCCATACTGCCTCTCCAATCTCAGAAGTTCAGACACAGAGGGACCTTGAAAATTCTCTTCTCATTTTACAGATGGGGAAATGAGGCTCAGCAGGGAGAGGTGATTTAATCAAGGTCACAGAGCTCTTGGACCAGAGCTTTCTCTTTGTCAAATGCTCTTTCTCTAAAGCTGCACTCTTACACGTGACCATGCACCTGCTTACTGGGAAAAGAGAGAAGAGTCTATGAGCATATGTCTATCTATGTGTGCTTGGGGTTTCAGAGCAGGAATAATGTCCTGATAAAGTTGCCTGAAAAAAGGTTCCCAGCTTTCAGATCAGGATAGGTGTCATTTTAGCTAAAGAGAGAATAGGGAGGAAAAGAGAAGAAAGGTTGACGGGGTCCTGACATGCTAGACTCCCCATAGTTCGGGGTTTGTTCCTCAATTTTGGCCATTAAAAGCTGTCCTAAGACTTGGCAATGCCAGCTTTCCATTGTTTTGTGATCTTAGACAGAGTCAAATCTATCCCAACCTGCTCTTAGGATTGTTTGCATTTCCCAGCCTAGTTTCCAGCCTTGGCTGCACTTTAGAATTACCTGGAAAGCTTTAAAAATTACCAATGTACAGACTACCTCAAATCAATTAAATTGGATCTTTGAGGGTGCAGGATAATAAGTAATTTTTAAAATAACTTCTGAGGAGAATCTAATGTACAGCTAGAGTGAGAATTACTGTCCTAGGTGATAATCTTGGAGTTCTGGATAACTGATATGTTAGTCAAGGAAAGAGTCAAGTGACAAGATGCTCAGAGTTCATAGAGGACAATCATCCCTGAATTAAAGGTGAAGGTCATAGACCAGGCAAAATGGCATAAATGATAGAGGCTTAGTATATCTCCTCTTGCGACTACATCAAAGTTGTGACATAAGCACTGAGCAAACAGCAAGCAGAGTCACCTGGGATCTAGATGAACAAAAGCCTTACAACTAGGGAGAGAATTAAGAAATCACCCTGCAATGGTAGGAGGGAGCGAAGATGCGAGGCTGCCTGGTCCCCAATGGCTGAGTGGGACAGAGGCTATGGCAGCTGCAGTCGGCAGCTGCAGACGTTCCTTTTAAAGGGACCGTGCCTGGGAGTGGACTTTCGCAGTGACGGACTCGCTCGCTCTGAGCACTAGTACTGGGTCATCTGCTTGGGGGGCATCAGGGACTTACAGGGGGACACTGAGTTCTTGGAGCAGAGGCCTAAGATGAGGCTTTCTCCTGGGCAGAAGTGCTGGTGGTGTCCATTGTTCCTCTGTTGAGCCCTCCCCACTCCCAGTGTGTGGACGCAGCTCTGCCATAGCTGAGAAGTCATCAAACAGGATAACAGAGGTTGTTCCGCCCAGAGGATTCCCTGAAACTCTGCCTCTCCCAACTTATAGCCCTACTCAAGCCACAACCAGTTGTGTCCTCAGCTTGTCCTGTGCCCCTTGCTGAGCAGCTCCAAGCCCCACACTGGTGGAAGCTGGCCTCGGTTTCTGGCGTGGCCTCTTGAGGCAACTATAAGCACAGCATCTGTGGATTGTATGCTGAATCACACCAGGTGACCCTATAGGGGCGCAAGTTGGAGCTAAACTTGGCCTGCAGGTGGACCCCTCTCAGGACTGCACCACTGGACATCTACTATACAAAGCCACACTAATAAAACCAAGAGAATTAGGAGTTGTGCTTAGTACATAGAAACACACACAGAAAGGCAGCCAAAATGAGGAGACAAAGAAACAGTTTCCATATGAAAGAACAGAACAGAGATCCAGGAAAAATGAAGTAAGGAATCTAATGGATGCAAAGTTTAAAACATTGGTTATAAGAATTGTCAATGAACTTAAGAGAAGTATAGATGAACTCAGTGAGAACCTTAGCAAAGAGATAAAAAACACAAAAATTAAAATGGAAATTATAAAAGAGAACCAGTCAGAAATAAAGAATGCATTATCTGAGATGAAGAGTATATTAGAGGGAATCAAAAGAGTAGATGAAGCAGAGGATTGTGAATAACTGATATAGAGGATGGCAAGCCAAGGACATCCAATCAGAACAGCAAGAAAAAAGAAGCCAAGACTATGATAGTAATTTAGGAAGCCTTTGGGACACAATTAAATATGAAAATGTACGTGTCATAGGAGTACCTGAAGGAAAACAAGAAGTTGAAGAGCTATTTGAAGGAAATAGACATACAACCCCAAGAAGTTCAGAGTGTCTCAAGAAAGAGGAATCCAAAGAGGCCCACACCAAGACACATCATAATTAAAATGCCAAAGGTTAAATACAAAGAGAGAATCTTTAAAGCAGCAAGAGAAAAGCAGTTATTTACCTACAAGGGAGCACCTGTAAGACTGGCAGCTGATTTC